TCTCACATCTAATAAGTCCATAAAAAAAGTTTAATATTTTGTTTACGCCAAATGAAAGTGACCCTCAAAATAAATATCCTAATTACATTAGTGTTACATAAAAAGTAGTGTACATTTTCTCACAAGACCAACTAAGTGACAAGATACAAGGTGGACCATTTAAACAAGTATAAATTAGTGAAAATTGAAAACAATTTTATCTTTGGTACCATAACACAACTACTTCTTTTCCATTTGCTTCAAGCCTGCAATACAACCAACAATGTCGTTCTTATTCTTTGGTGAGATGTCAATAACACATGGCAATGCTTTGCTTCATATGAAACCATCCACCTACACATACACAATAACTAATTAATGAAAGCTACCAACAAATTTTAGTTGCCTAACTCTATAAAAAAATTCAATAATATTTATTTATTATTATTTTAATTTTTTTTTGTATGGAATAATCTGATTCCAAAATCAATTATGTTATCAAATAGTTTCAGCCATACTTGTAATTAACGTTTGCCATTTTTCAATTATATGTTTCTTCGAAATATGAAGGGGGATTAACTGTTGGATGATTGCAAGATAATTTTTATTAAAAATAAAAATAATTTAATAAGAACGTTACATTTCACCTGATAGGAAAAACAAAGATTTTTAAATTAAAAATTAACTTTTGGTAGAAGATAAGGCTACTTTGGTAATAACGTGACGAACCGGCTCTTAGCCTGCTACTTCATTGAATAGTTAATTATTAATGTACAACTTATTCTATGATCATGCCAAATTCACAAACTTGTTTAAACCTATAAATATAATATATCTAGTTATATGAAAATAGTTTTTAAAAATATTAATCAAACAGACCCATTTTAGAAATATACTAATGTTTTATTTATTGAATTTTTAAGAAATTCATATGACGAAATTTTATATATGATAAAAATTAACTAAAAATATTATACTAATTAAACGCGCAAGAGTTAACAAAAATGATAAGTTAGACAAAGCCAAGGGATTTGGTTTCTAGATTTCACCAAAGGAAACAAAACATGTTCGGCTGTGTTTGGGACACTTAGGAATACTCCAAGAGCAAATGGACCAGGTCAAGAACAAAGAACATTAATACACACTATTTTAATTATAAAATAAATAAAAAAATCGATATTGTATTAAGCTTTTAATAAATTTAAAAAACTCATATTAAAGTTTATATAGAAACAGAAGGCAAACAAATAATAACTGCACATGCTATTTTTTATGATAAAATTAATTAATTTTAAAAATAAATAGCTATGTATAATATTTGGACTCTCTTTAAAAGATCACTTTTTTTAGTATTAAAAAATAGAAAATATCAAATATAAATGATATTAAGGGACATATTTTTTTATATTTGATTATTTTACATTTGAGAATTTTTAAATTTATACATATATATATTTTTTTATATTCACGAACCTTCTTCTTCTTTTTTTTCATTTTTAGAAGAAAGAGATTCCAGTAATTTAAAATTCAATTTGAAATGTGATAAATTTGATCAAACATTATTTCTACAAAGAATCAAATTTGATATTTTTAAAATTTTTGTTTTTTAACAAAAATTTGATTACTATACTTGAATCCAAATATTTATTTAGAACATTTGTTTGACGTAAGTGTAATTTTTTTGTCATAAGTTTTTAATATGGTTTTTAATTTTTAAGGTCCAAACTTAGTAATGGTCCTCCCTATTTTATTCTCAAAATCCAATCTCTTTTTTTAACCATATATATGGTTAACCTTTTCTAGAGTGTTGCGTGTAAATGTAAAATTTGAATGTTGTTTGTATTTTAACATTGGTTTTACATTATATAAAGAAAGTGAATTTTAATAAGTAGTATCATTTTGACAAAATAGTTCATACATCTACCACCCTATAAAAAGATAACCGGCTATAGAAAGTCAAATATAGGGGACAACTATTGTATTCTAAAAATTAGTATTACATTTAAAATAAAAATTAAAAATTCACCCATTTTATAATTTTCTTTTGACATTTGTTTTGAAACGTTGCCTAACTTTTTGTTTTAACTTTAGATGTGCATATAGAGAATATACGAGAGTTACCACCATGATTTATATATATATTTTAGATGATATATTCTATTTAGAGAGTTGAAGGAGAACTTAAACGAGGTTGAAGACAATATTAAAAACATATAACTCTCAATTAAGTAGAAATAAGATGTAATGTAAGTAAAAAAATAGGAAAAACATCTCTATATTAGAGATGAAAGTTGGAAAAGATATCATTCTATAAATCATACTATTTAAATATTTTGGGTTTATAATATAAAACAATAAAAAAATAGAACAGATGCAAACAATTGAATTCAACTTGAATGGTTATGACTGAGAACAATTTAAAAAAAATTGTGTGACAGAAAGATACTGCTTAAATTAAAGGAAATTTTTTATTGAAGAGTGATAAGATCTACAATATTGTAGAAGACAAAATATTAGACGTTTAAAAAATTTATACGAAGATAAAATAAGTATATATGATAATATTGTGTTGAATGTGTGATAAAATTATACAGGATAAAATTAGAAATACCAATAATAGACAGAGTGCTAGAATAACACCAACTATAGTAAAAAAGATTATAGAAAATAAACTTTGGTTTGAGAATAGAGAAAATTGGTGATGCATTTATAGTATAAACAAATTTTACACCGTCAATTAATTACGACTATGAATTTCACTAAATTTGACTGTAATTTTTTAAAAATTTATATAACATGACAAAACAATATATTTTTATTGGATGACAGTGTAAAACTTTTTTATATTATCAGTACATCTCCTTTAATCTCTTGAGAGTATAGAGAGAAAATTCGTAAATTTCGATAGTAAAAAAAGTATATGTAAAAAAAGAAGTCGAATACTAAAAGAGAGATAAAAAAGTTATAGAAACAATTATCAAATCCTTTGAAATTAATAATTTAGATAAAAAATATATATATATTTTATTACAGAATATGACAAAAGTTGATCGTATGATCAATTTTCCTTAATGTATTTATATATTAAAAAAATTGTTTTGGCTTACACGTGTTTATTTACATATTTACCCTTCCGTTTCAAACTAACAAAAATCTAATAACCCCGGAGAAAACGGTGTTAGAATGTCTGGGTGTTTTTACTTTTCCATACCGACTCTTTTTAAATATATTTAACTTTTATTTCTCTGTCAATCATATCACAGTTCGTACTACACGTATTAAGTTTGAACAATTGAAGAAATTAGAGACACAAAATCAAAGACTTCAAACTTATAAAACAAAGAAATAACACCAGTACAAATTATTATACTCTCTCTCTCTCTCTCTCTCTCTCTCTCTCTGCATTTTCCGCCATTTCAGAAGAAAACCTCAGAAGGTAAAACGATTCCCTCACTCGCTTTCTCTTTCAATGCTTTACATTGCGATTCTACTTCCTTTTCACACTCTCCATGCTCGATTCTTTCTAATTTCTTCGAATTTCTTTCTGATTTTTCATTCTTTTGATCCATTTGACTCCGCTTTTACTTCCTTTGCTTTCAGATGCTTGTATCTACACTTTAATTCTTCCCGAAATTAACCGCAATTTCATAACTGTTTTAGTTTTGTGCTAATTTTTGTTCATGATTCGTTTTTGTTCATTCCGTTTTTGTAATGATTCATACTTTTTCTGCTTTGATATGTTATTTGGAGATCGACTAGTTTAGGAAGAAGCTCATAGAATAACGCGTTTATGTAGAAACATATATAAATAAATATTTTCTTTTCTATATGCATTTCTAAATTTAATTTATATTAATAGATTTAATGGAGAATTGATATAAAGGTAAAATGATGGAAATAGTAAGATCTGAGTTTATACTGATACTAATATTTGATTGCAGTAGGGTTTATGTGATTCTCATTAATGTATCATTTGAGATTTCAATTGAATTTAATTATCTTTGTTCTCTTAAATATTTTGATTGTCACTTGTTTTAATTCTTAATCATTTAAAAATGCTATTATTAGTATTAATTTTTATATAAATATGAAATACCGTAGTGCTATGTTGACCAAATGGTGGTTGTTTGCTTAGGTAGGGTATTGACTGATCAACATTTATTGCTAAAAAACTTTATTTGAATTGGCTTCACTAGAATGCTGGTGAGGGAATTGACTAACAACAGGAAAATGTTTAGAAAATACTAATATGTTCATGATATTAGCAAACAATAAATTCCTAAAGCCGTGATAAATTTTAATTTTATTATGTTGGAAAGGAGTTATGGTTCATATTGCCTCATGGCTGTGTATTAATTCAACATTTTTTTAGATGGTGTTTGAATTTGGTTGCTATTGATATGTTAGTGGAATTAATTATGGTCTGAAACCAATTTAGGAAACTAGTATATGCACACAAAACTGAAAACTGAACAAAATCAAAGATGATGTATGTCAGTGGATTTAATTATGGCCTGAAAAGGGAAGAAGATGAGCATTGAGCACTAAGAATTTTTGTCACGAACATTTTGAGACACTTCAACATGATACAAATAATACCATATGTACTGCAATATATAAAGATTTAATTGTGTAAACTTATTGTTTTGTATACAGGTTCAGCACGCTTGCTACATTTGATTTGCTTTTGATATGATTTTCATGGTGATGTCTCAGTATACAAACATGCTTCTAAAGGCTGGTAGTTGGTACTTGGTTTCAGATTGAGAACAGACATGAAAAAATAAGTGAATCTCGCATAGCTATCTGGCAAAGGTTTCACTACACATGCTTCCGTATATCTAATAAGAACTTTTACAATATTTGTGTTCCTTATCTGTTTCTATTCTACCATATTTCTCTCCATAATTATTATAAGGAGCTGTCCGAAAGGCAATGATCAATTTGGTTGTAGTCTGGCATTCTTATGATCAAGTACCATAAAGTCGGAGGGATATTGCTTCATTCATAGGATCATCAAGATGAAGAAATTGTATGGAGGAGTTCTGATTGCCTCATCGTTTACACTTTTTATGCTTATGATCCTACGATACGGGGTCATGCAAAATCCTATTAGTGAAGGTTATTTGATCATACCTGCCTCTATTAATGGTACTAATCCTCTAGAATGGATAAATCCTGTGATTCCGACTGCTATTCAAAATCCAGATGGTAGTTCTCAAGTTATTTCTGCGGACATTTTAGTATCTAGCCTCTTTGCCAAGAACAGCTTTTCCATAAAAGAACACCAAACTCTGCAAACATGGAACCACTTGAAACACTTAATTAGTCATGTTCAGGGTTTACCTAGTGCAGCAGACGCTATCAAGGAAGCTGCTAGTGCATGGAATAGTCTTGTTTCTTCAGTTGAAGAGCAAAAGCAAGGTCATGCAAATGATAGTTCAAGAGCTAAAGAGAAACAGTGTCCCCATTTTCTTAATAAAATGAATTCTTCTGAACTGGGTAATAGTAGTTACAGACTGCAAGTACCTTGTGGTCTGACACAGGGTTCTTCCATTACTGTAATTGGCACTCCAAATGGTATCCTAGGTAATTTTCGAATAGACTTGACTGGAGAACCAATTCCCGGGGAGCCTGATCCTCCAGTTATCTTGCACTACAATGTTAGGCTTCATGGTGATCAAATCACCGAAGATCCAGTAATTGTCCAAAACACCTGGACATTAGCTCATGATTGGGGTGAAGAGGAGCGTTGTCCATCCCCTGATTCTGAAGAGGTTAAGAAAGGTGAAAAATACTCTCTCGTTAATATCCATAGGAATTCATGTTCATCATAATTGAATCCAAAGTTTCCTCTTATGATTCTGAAATAAATCATAGATGATGTCAAGGTTCCTCTTCTGATTCTGACATCAAATTTTAAGATATTTGAGTTCAATGACTGCTGAATAGTATTTATTCTATAACAAGAAGTCCCTTCTGCTTAGTTTTATTAGCCTATTAACTCGCAGTTGTAACAGATTTGAGTCTTTCCTACCTAAAAATCAATTTATCTATCAATATTCATTTTCGTTGTTCCTCTTCTATATAATTTGTAGTGCTAAACCTTAATCTGTGAACTTTTTGCTGATCCAGATGTTGTATATGCCATAAATTGCATTTACACTACTTTTAACTTCCTTTATTTATTGCTGTTTTATATGCCAGTTGATGAGCTGGAACAGTGCAATAAGATTGTAGGCAAGAATATTAGCCAACTTTACATAGGCGGCATGCATTCCCACACTTCAAGACAAATATCAGCGGCTGAAGAGCAATCAATTAAGAGAAAATATTTTCCTTTTAAGCAAGGTTACCCATTTGTCGCAACTATTAGGGTGGGATCAGAGGGAATCCAGATGACAGTTGATGGAAAACACATATCTTCATTTGCTTTCCGTGAAGTACTTACTTTCTCTCTTGCTTTTCATTTTTTAAAATTAAATATTGATTAAGTGTGTTTAAATATGCTGACTAATTTTCCTGGTTATGATTCAGACCTTGGAGCCATGGCTTGTAAGTGAGATAAAAATTTCAGGGGACCTAAAATTAGCATCCATCCTTGCAAGTGGTCTGCCTACATCAGAGGATTCAGAGCATATTGTTGATCTGGAACTATTGAAATCAAGTCCTGTATCTGCACAGGCCCCGTTGGATCTCTTCATTGGTGTTTTCTCAACAGCCAACAATTTTAAGCGACGGATGGCTGTGAGAAGAACCTGGATGCAGTATAGTGCAGTAAGATCAAATACAACGGCTGTGCGCTTCTTTGTTGGTTTGGTGAGTGTTAGTTGTGATCTTCTCGCTCGATTCTAAATAAGTAGAGTTGGGAAAGATTATCTATCATATCATAATATAAAATTGGATTTTCTTTGTATTTTTCCGAATTAGTGGTCTTGAAACTTAGAAATTTGTTTCATTAACAATAAACAAAATTTGCTAACATATTTGTTTCTATTTGAGCTTTTTGTTTTCAGTATCTATACACTATCTTAGCATTTTCACCGTGAAGAATATCAATACAGACATGATATTTTGATATGTAGAATTCTCTGTTAATAGTGTTAAATGAAGGACTTAGCTGAATTAAAGCTCATGTTTGATTTGATGCAGCATAAAAGCCAAATAGTTAATGAAGAATTATGGAAAGAAGCACAAACGTATGGAGACATACAGTTGATGCCATTTGTTGACTACTACAGCCTCATCACCTGGAAGTCTTTAGCAATCTGCATTTTTGGGGTAATGTCTTGTCTTTTCTTTGACTTGGAAAATAATTCATCTCTCATTGACTTTATCTTTTGAACAGACACAGGTTGTTTCAGCAAAGTTTATCATGAAGACAGATGATGACGCATTTGTTCGTGTAGATGAAGTGCTAGGCTCTTTGCAGAGGATCAATGTGGCTCATGGGTTGCTATACGGACTCATCAATTCTGATTCCCAGCCTCATCGAAATCCTGATAGCAAATGGTACATCAGTACAGAGGTAGAGATATCCTTTCTTACTTGAACAATCTTTCTTCCATTTCATTTACATTATTAGTTTCTGATTGTAAGTTAATGGTATATGCAATGTTTGTTGATTGAGCCTGCTTGTAAATAGATCTTGGATGAATCTATTATAGTTAATGTTATTTCCCGTGGTTGGATTGAAACTTGATTCTTCAGTCACGGGCCATGGGCTGATACATTTTTATCAGTTATCATATGCTTATTATCAGAAAATGGAAATCTCCCTAGGTGAAAAAGTATTTACTGAGATTGGACTGAATGAACTGCTTATTTGCTACACTGTTGGAATGAAATTTTATCGGGCATTTCCTCTTTTTCATTTATTATTTTCTTCTCAACTTATTTTCAACTAATGTAAAATTAACTTATTGTAAAGGAATGGAGCGAAGAAAGTTATCCTCCATGGGCACATGGCCCCGGCTATGTGATCTCACATGACATAGCAAAGGCAGTCTACAAGAAATACAGAGAAAATCATTTGAAGGTATGTAAAGTCCTTTATTTGTTAAAAATGTAAAAAATGCTAGTGGGTTCTAAAGATTTTATGCAAAAAGCATTGGAGGCATACATGAACACTTGGCAATTCTAAAACGTTTGGCAGATGTTTAAATTAGAAGATGTTGCAATGGGAATCTGGATTGCAGAAATGAAGAAGGAAGGTCTAGAAGTTCGATACGAAAATGAGGGCAGAGTTTATAATGAGGGTTGTAAGGATGGTTATGTGGTTGCCCATTATCAAGGTCCAAGGGAGATGCTATGTTTATGGCACAAACTTCAGGAATTAAAACGTGCAACCTGCTGTGGTGATAGGAGGTGACTGCTGAATGCTGACTAACAAGATACCACTTTTGATAAAGAATTTCCCACTTTTTTGTATAATAAGTAGTAGAATAGTTAGCGTAGCCAGATATGATTAGAAATAGGTATTAGTAGGGCATATTTGTAAGTCATATATTCGTGTTAAAGTAAATCTGATGATTGTCCTATGTAGAGAGAGGGAGAGATTTGTATAGAGCTGCCAATTAGAAATGGGTTATCAAATTTTCCCGTCTGGTCATATTTTTTATTGGAAACATGCCATTGTAGAAAGAAACCTCAAATTTCTAACAGTTTTATAATGCCAGTATTAGCATAGTTTAGTGCATGCTTGCTTATACGATTTAAGTGGGCCAGAAGTACGATTTTTCAGAACTCCAATTTGGAGCTTCAGCCTTTTTACATATTTTTGGCTTGAAATTTGATGCAGACTAGCGTTTTCTTTATCAAAACTTACCCAAACATACACTTAGTAATTTTTCTTAGTAATTTTTACTCAACTTCTTAGTCATGCCTTTTGTGTTATTCCCGATGTCATTCAAATTGTAGCATGTGTTTGAAAGTATTAAACTTGCATTCCATATTATATTTTGCTTAGCAAGAACTAGTATATGAAAATATGTTTACATATTTATGACTTCTAATTTGTATGATGGGAATGATGATATTTATTTATGTGCTTGAGCAAAAATTATGTAAATAATATTGTTCGGTGTTGGACTTAGAATTGGTGTTGATTGATGATTTAAGACTCTAGAAGCAATGGTGTTGATCTCTGATCAGTGACGCGAGATTGACATACAAGATTAACTCTCAAATGCACAAGTCAGTCACAAAATTCAAGATGAGTATATAATCCAAGATGAGTGTAGTGAAAGTTGAAGATCAAAATCTATACCTTGAATCCGCCAACATATTATCAAATACTTATGGATCAACTTGATCCAAGTGGATATAAGCTACTCTCTTATGTTACAAGCGAGACTAATCCTTATTTCTCAGAAGACATATCTCATTTATAAGAATTTTATAGGATGTATGTATTTTCACTTGGTGAATTAATAAAGATGATTTAATTTGATTTTGATTTTATATGACCCAAGAATAATAGGTTACATTGTTACCTTTATTGCGTAGTTGACTAATACTTAAAACAAATTATGTTTTAAACCATTAACTAAGAGAATCTCCCGGGAACATACCAACGCTAACAATACCAATGATTTCTCCTTTATTTTTGTCACCATAACAAATTATGTTTTAAACATATGATATGTTATTCATGGCAAATACTCAGTCGAATGGTGAACAAAACAATATGTGGTACCTGGATTCAGGATGCAGTAACTACATGACTGTAATAAAAACGGGTTCACCAAGTTAGATGAATCGTTCAAGAAAGTGATCAGGTTTATAGATGGAAGACATGTAACATCAAGTGAAAAAGAAAAATAGTTGTGGTGAGAAAAGATGGTAAAAAGGCCATTATTACTGACATATTGTATGTACCTTTGATGACAAGTAATTTGATAAGTATAAGTTAATTACTTGTCAAAGGGTATAACACGAAGTTGGAAGAAAATCTGATGAAGGTGTATAATAGTGAAGAAACGATGATCCTGAAGGCACCATTGAAAGATGACAAAACCTTCAAAGTAGATATCAACACGGTTGATCATAAATGTCTTGCCTTAATTGATGTTGAAGACAAGAATTGACTACGACATCATAGATATGGACACCTAAACTTCAGAGGTGTTGGTATGCTCAACTAGGAGAATATGGTGTATGGCTTGCCTCAAGTGAAGGAACCAAGTCAAGTGTGTGAGGAATGTTGCAAATTAAAGCATCCTAGAAAATCATTTAAACATGACTTGTCCATGAAGTCGAGAGAAAAGATGGTGCTTGTTCACTCTAACATGTATGGACCTTTTGAAGTAAGGTCTAATGGAAGTAATTGCTATTTTCTAACCTTCATAGATAAAAACACCAGATATATGTGAATTTATCTTATTGAAAGAAAAGTGAGGCATTCACACAGTTCAAAAAGTTTAAGTTGTTTGTCGAGAAACAAAGTTAATGCAAGTTAAAAAATTGAGAACTAGCGGCGGAGGTGAATACATCTCTAGAGAATATGCTAGATTTTGTAATGAGGAAGGTATAAAGCATGTAATCATTACACTTTATACACCTCAAAACAATGGTATACTTGAGAGGATAAATAAAAGTATATTTAACATGACTAGGAGTATTTTGAAGGCTAAAGAAACGCCAAAGAGATTTTGGGGGTGAAATAGGTTCGACAGTGATATACATTCTAAACAAAATTTCAACCAAGAAGATAGTCGAGAAGACACCTTATGACACTTGGACAAAGCTAAATGTTAGTCATCTTAGAGTTGTTGGATCAATGTGTTTCAAGAATGTACTAGAACAATTGAGAAAGAAGCTAGATGATCGAAGTCAGACCATGATGCTCATAGGTTATCATTTAACTAGTGCATACAAATTGTATTCGCCAAATGATGATAAGCTAGTGATTATAGGGATGTTTTGGTGGACGAAAACAAAGGGTGGAATTGGACTTAGGGGTCAGTTCGACATGAGCAAGATATAGTCAAAATTGTGCTTGAAGAAGATCAATAAAATGAAGACACAATTAATCAAAATGAAGAACCACCTGACCAGAATATTATGTACTTACAATTGAATTGACCTTTTGGATTGACTGCATTTTACAAAATAACAACATGAAGAAGTGTTCAAAGTGTTTAAGATTATCTAGCTTGCTTAAGTTGTATGGAGGTGCAGTAGAAACAGATGTTGGACGCAATGTTGAGGTACGATATTTGTACCTTGCGCAACAGGTCAATACTACTGTGTTTTTGAAGAATTTATGGTGAAAGGTTGGATCGGATTTTATTCCTAATTGGATTAGAAATATGATTAAGTGGTTTGTTTGACAATATTTAAATTTGAATTTAAATTGAAACAAATCATATCTTGTTAGAGATATTTATGGAACAAATAATACCTAACATATTCTGCATTAGTTTTGAACGAAATCAAATCTCAAATCCATGAAGAAAAACCCAAAATTATTATGCTATATAAGGAGCTCAAAATCTAGGTTGAAAGCCAAGCATTCACATTGAAGATTTTATAGTGCTAGGAGTTATAAGAGTCCTTATTATTTTATGTACACCTCTATGTTTCAGTAACTTGGCATAAATTTTTTGTCTAGTTGAGTTGTATATTCATCATCTTTATTTTCACCTCTATGTTTCATCAACTTGGCAAAGAAGGTTTGCCTAGTTGAGTGATAGTATTCAACATTGATTATTGAGTTGTAATATTAAATCACAGGTTATGTGATTAAGAAGAAAGTGAGTAGGTTCTCATGTTTAGGGGTATCCCTAAATAGAAAGTCACTGGGTAGTGTTAGAAAAATACATTGAATAATATAGTTTGTTGTTGTTTGTAAGATTAATTGTACTAAACTACTAATTGTGAATTTTCTTTCTTGGGTTGTATACTCAATCCTCCAAACGTAAGTGTGGTTTAAACGACCTGGGTAAACAACTATCGTGTTATTTACTGCTATTCTGCTCTATCATCTAGTACTTACTATTATGGTGTTTCTGGTTTAAGAACCAGTTGTCTAGGACATCATATTTAACATTTATCCCTTGAGGAACAAATTTTCATGTTCGAAGATCTACTAGAAGGAGAACTGAGTCGACAAGGCTAGTTGGATATGAGAGATTTCCAGATCATGCAATCGATGTAGATGGTGACTTCATAAAACAAGTGATGATGATGGTTGAATCATAACCAATTGACTAGGATCAAGTCATGGATGATTCTAATTGGTTGGCATCCATGCAAGAAAAACTTAGAACAATCGAGAAGAACAAGACCTAAGAGATTGTAGAAAAATAAATAAAGAAGACAATTGATGTGAAATGGGTCTATAAGTTGAAGCTAAGGCCAAATGGTGAAATTGTCAAGCACAAGGAAAGGATGGTGGCAAGAGGTTTTCTGCAAAAACCTGTTATCGACTTCGACAAAGTCTATGCACCTGATGCAAGTCTAGAAACCATCAGAATTATTGTGTCGATTGCAACATACAAAGGATGGAAGATACATTAGCTAGATGTAAAGTCATTATTTCTGAATGGACTATTGGAAGAGGAGGTATATATCATTCAACCACCAGGATTCAAAATCAAAAGGCAGGAGCAGAAGGTATGCATATTGAGGAAGAATCTCTATGGTTTGGAGCAAGCCCCAAGGCTTGGAATAAGAGAATAAATAGCTTCCTGATCGAGACATGTTTCATAAAGTGTGTCTCAGAACATGAAGTGTAGGTCAATAATGCAAGCAGACTTAGTCGAGTCATTATATGTTTGTATGTGGATGACTTACTGATTACAGATGCAGATGAAACATACATAAAAGGGGTCAAGTTGAAACTAGTGTAGGAATTTGAAATGTCCAACCTAGGGAACTTGCCATATTTCTTAGGAATGAAGTTTAAAGATACAAGTGAAGGAATGTTCTTGCACCAGACGAAGTATGCTCAAGAATCTTAAAAATGTTTAAGATGAGAAACTGTAATGCAGTTGTCACACCATTGGACAATGAAGCAAAATTTAGAAAGGATACTGATCGGGAAAATAGCAAGTGTACTATTTTTACCAATTGTAGTAATAAGGGAAAAGTCCCAAGTATCGATCTCGAGGACTGCGTAGTAATTAACGGAATTTTTAGGATTCAATTGAACAAAAGGTCTAGTGGTTTGTTTGGTAGCAAAGTAATATCACAAGTAAATACGGACTTAATTAATCAATCTAAGAACAATGTTAGGGGAGTGGAGACTATACGAGTAAAGACCCTGTATGATTATTCTACTATACTAGTTATTAACCTTAATTTATCAGTTGGCCACTTTAGTTGCCTTAATTCCTTAATGGAAACCCTTTGATGATTTTCCTGTTC